GATGCATTACCAGGAAAACAGAACAGTGGTGGCGTTAAACTTGGAGCTAAACGTCCGACGACAATTGATGCTGAAGGAGACGAAGATATGGAGAATGGTGATGGATGGGAAACTGACAGCTCTGAGTCTTCCTTGGATTCCGCAGATCTTACCGCAGTTCCACTTGATGAGAGAACGCACCAGTATGAGAAACTTCATCAACACCCTCATCACTCCCACACCGATCCTCGATCACACCACAACAAGGATGGATGGCACTCACATGCTCATAAACACAATCATGCAGCATTTTATGCTGATTACGAGCTTCACCTACCTTCTGGTCGTACCGCTGGACATCGATCATTACAAAAATATTATCGTCAAAATTTGGTCAATCATCCATCACCAGAGGAGAGACAACGACGTGCAATTGAAGCAGCTGAAAACTCCGATTCTGATGTAGAGCAAGATGAACGTGTTGTTCGACGCAATGAGAGAGAACGTGGAAGAGCACTTATGAGCCGTGCAAATGGAGGTCTAGGTATGGCTGGTGTCACCGCTGAGAAGAGAAGAGAAGTCAAGGCGGCGGAGAAAAGATCCAGAAAGGTGGAGAACTACGAACGCCGTAAATTTGACTGGAGAAACAATAAGCAGAACAACTCACAAAAACACTTCAGAGTAAGTTGTCATCAACCCTTTTTGAAAATGACTCCACTAACAACAGTATTTAGGATCCATTGTTGCAATGATTTCTCCGTCGTATTTCGTGGCATTTCTACTGGTGGCATTTTCTCGGTATACCAAATGATTCTTAGATATCCATATCTCACAGGTTTCATAAGCATCATCGGTGGGTGGGCAAAGAGTGGCATTTATTTTTGGGCGTTTTCAAGGAATAGTTTATGATTGATGTTCTCACATAAATGAGTACAGAGTTATTAACAATACAAATGTTGTTGTTGATGATGAAATGTTTGCTTCATGATTGATTAATTTGATGTTGTGTTTGCTGTGCTTTCAACGAATCTAAATGAGTACATATAACGCCAATGAGAACTTCTATTCAAATACCGATTACATTGTATAATCGATCTATTGGATGATTGCAACTCCATAGCTATCCAACCAGGGGATCAATTCAACTCTTGTTTGACATCTTTCCCCAAATAGTCCGTAGATGGAAAAAAAGGCGTGTATTGATTTTGATCTGATTTTGAAACTAATCCATACTGTATATTCCAAGTATCATATCAATCAAAGCTTCTCTTTCCTTTCCTTTTCCTTCCCTTCTCTTTAAATAGAATTCTCATTTCCTCTACGTTCAATTCATCATTCATAATTCTCCCTTGATCCCTTCTCCCTCATAATGATCTGACTGTCCAATTGTCAATGATTTGCGGAGCACCAAGAATTAGACTATCGGGTTCCGGAATGGGTCGTCGATTAATCCCTGTTAGCGAAATATTCTCTAATCCCCAAGAAGGAACAAATTCAAAGCTGCAAACCCCTTAGATTCAATTTCCACTGCTCCTTCTTTTGACCGTTACAATCTTTACCTTTACCTTCACCTCTTTTTCTATTTTCTACTTTCTTCGCGGGAGTATTTGTTATTTGGGGGTTTATATTATTCTGGAATTACTTGCGTTTGCACATAAACAAAGAGGAGGTCTGGAGTAAACAAGAAGATATATACATGTACCAATTCGATAGCAAATTCCTACTGTATCCAAGTACAGCGCGCAGCGATTGTTGATATGGCCGAACAAATGGGTACCCCCAATTCCAGTGCTGATCTTTCAGTGAATGGTGGCAAGAATTCCGCACCAAAGGATAAGAATTGTCCATTCTGTCATCAAGCATTTACTTCATCCTCACTTGGCCGCCATCTCGATCTTTACATAAAGGAGAAGAATCCCAAAGCAGCAGATGGTATACATAGTGTGGATGAGATAAGGAAGCTTCGTGGAGGCATTACAAGGCGGCAGCCACGTAATTCAACATCAAGGAGGGAAGATTCGACACCTGCAGGGACACCTGGAGGATCGGAAAGGGGGAATTCCAATAATGATTCTGACATGGTAGGGAGTGACTCTCCAAGCCTAAGAAGAGATGATGGAGCGGCTATGAACATGATGTGCATGTCAAGGGGGGTACCAGGTCAAACCTTGGGTAGTCGAAGACCTAATTTTGTTGTGAATGGCGGTACATGGGAGTCAACAGGCGTCATGAATCATATTCCTCAAGCACGAAATGGCGAACCCGCTCGAAGCTGGGACGGAGATGATTCCAGAGATGGGAGTCGGAGATCGGATGGCAGAAATAGATCTGTCAGCAAACAAATGCTAGCGAAAACGACGTTCGAGCAAAAACAAAAGATGATGGAAGCTCTGGATAATGCAAAAGCGGCAGAATTGGCATTGAGAGAACTTTTAGGGGGGGTTAGAGCGGCCAAGTAAGTTTTTCCCAACTACACAATCCGGATTCAGTCCTAACTCAAGACCTTACAGACAACGAATTGAAGGCCCCAATATTTTTGATTACGATCCTTTTAGTTTGGATTTTCCTGCCCTTACTTTACATTGTCTGCCACCACCACCGACCCTTTACGCGTCTACTCCTATTCCAAACTCTACTTCATGGTCTATCCTTCCACCAGATGAATTACAATATCAAGCATTACGGAAACATTTTGCATCAGAGTTTCACCGCTACCGTATCTCAATATCCATCGCTTCAACAACTCCACAAGATGATTTGTCATATCCTCCGCAGGAAAACTTCAATGGTCTCGAGAATCTTGCTGCACTACACCAGCAAGCGGAAGCAGATGCTCAAAGCATGGAGGCCAGAATTTCTGAGCATTTACATTCAATGTTTGGGCATTGGAATTCGTTGCCCCCAAACAAAAGGACTGAACTTTGGACTCTCGAATTAGCTCGTAATATTGGTCGAAAGTCTGAGGAAATATCCAAGTTGAAGAAGGAGAAGGAACTTTTACAACAGGATACGGCGCACTCAAAATTACAAGTTGAGGAATTAAGTCGTTTACAACAACCTAGAGAATTCAGGATTCAACCACCTTCACCACTACCTATTGATTCACGTCTTATGACTGAACTGGGTAAATTGGGAACGGCGAATAAAGCTGTTGGTTTTCAACTCATGGATCGAAGCTTACATCTCGATACGGCAGTTGAACGAGCAATTGGTCGTTGGAAAGGTGTTGTCAAACAAGCTCGGGCTGGGTCTGGACAGTCTGGATCTGGTATGGCTGCACAAAAGCCGCTTGAGAATAATATCAATGACGCGTTGCCTCCATCGAATCCACCACAACTTAATTCTACCATAACAAGCCAACCATTGCAAGAGGATGCGCAAGATATTGGAAGCGATCAAGATGCAGATGGTGATGCTGATATGGAGGAAGATGATACATTTGTCGATATGACAGACGTTAATGCAGGTGTTCAACGTGCACCTGAAGCACCAATGTCTAACACGACAAATTTCCGATTGGCAAATGGAGGAATTAATATGCAAGGTGTTAATGCTGGTGGTAATCCGAGAGGAAATGTAATGGAGGGTATTGAGAATCAAAACCACGTGCAGGGATATGTGAGGATCGGGGCCTAATGAATATATTCATGAATAGGGCATTAAGCAACAAGAGTCATAAATACATCAGCTTTCTCGATCTTCAAAATCAGGAAAGTTGGAAAAATAATCTGATACAGCGCTGCAGCACAGTCGTCCATATACAGAAGCGAACAAATAGGGAGTTTTTGTTTCAAGCATTTACAGAGTTTTTTTATCGTCGTCGCTCGCTGCCGGCTAGGGAAAAGTTTCTTACTATATCTCCATGTCAATAGATAGTGGCTGTTTTGTTCGAACCGGAATCTAGATACATATTGACGATTTCTAGTTTGAGGAAAGAATAAACACCTGAAAACGAATGGGAAATATTATCGTCTGCATGGCAATTAAGTGATAGAAATGGGAGAAATGGGCGATCTTGAAAGGAAAATGGAGTGGGAGATGTTACAAAGGGGGATGGTGGATCATCGGGTTCATCATTCTGTGTATAGCATATTCTTAAGTAATTATATAAATATAAATACCGAATGGTTCTATGAAATTTGTTTTGTCTGAAAGGCTACCTAGGTATGTATCGGGTCATGTGATGGGTATATTGAGATTTTTGAGAGGTAAATGAATGTATTCGTTTTATTCTTTTATAATTTGTGTGGGTAGAGAACAAGCTGCAAGCGCATATGATTCTCTCATTGCCTCATTCATTGTATTTATTGAGAAAAAAACGAACTTGCGAGCCGGTTCGAAGTATTGACAGGGTCGGCGTAGCAGGTATATACCTCCGGCGATCACGACGTCAAGCCAAGAAATTTCCAAGGGTTATTTGTAACTTGTGAGGCTGGGGAATTCCCACTTTTTTTTTTATCTCTGGCTTCCAGGTTATGATTTAATATGATGTGATGGAATGGGATGGGAATATGTGGCTATGCAGGCTCGCAGGCTTCAGGAATTGTCATTTTGTGAGGATGAATTGATTGATGGTACTTGATACTTGATATTTGATACGAGAAGAGAAGGAGATGTCACGAGAGGAGGAGGGATGTGTGCCTTGAGCCGGCTTGGGAGATGAGTGGGTTTTCTTGGCGGGTTGGGGAGTGAGGTGAGGTGAGGTGGTGCAGCTGAGGTTTGGCGCGGGTTGGTAACTTGGTAGCTTGGTATGGATGGTATGGGTAGTTGGATGTCTGGGGAAAAGTGGAGGATTGAGAGGAGTGGGATGGATGGGTGGTGAGATACATATAGGGAGGAGTTGTCTGGTGTTTTTGTGCTGTATTTTTGATGTATTTTTTGTTTTTCTGATTTTTTTGGAATTTGGGATTTGGGATTCTTTTGACGACTCGGTTTCACGGATTTCTGGATACCCTCATCTCGTCTCGTCGCATCGTATCACAAGTGGATATATCCAATCAATCGATCAAGCATACCCGAAAATGGAAACCAAATCACCTACAAATATAACTACGAATACAGATACAAATCTTCCCTCAACACAAACAGCGCATTCTGATTTTTCAATGGTGGTAGAGAATCACAATCACAATCCTCATACGGGTACTGAAACCGAAATCGAAACCGAAAGTCGCAATGGAGTAAATACAAGCCATTCGGAAATCAATGCTCACCCCCCTCCTCCTTCCTACAATGCTCACGCCGATCAGCATTCGAGTGAGAAGAGGACGGTGGAGGATAATCATCATGGAAGTCATGAGAATAATAGTAGTGAAACTCCTCCGCAATTTCAGATCCATCCGGAAGTTATGAATGGGAATGGAAATGCGAATGGGAATACGAGTGTGAATGGGGGAGGAAAATATGAAGGTCAATCTCCGGCGCCTCTCACGTCGCTGCAGAAGGAATCGAGATTGGTGAGGTGTCCGAGGTGTAGGATGTGTGAGTATACGGCGGTGGAGTGGGTTAGTGGGGGGACTGCGGAGTAGGTGATTTTCTTTAGGGGGGTTGGAAGGTTTGAAAGAGAGGAGGGTAATGAGGGGGGGATGAGGGGATGAGAAAGAATGGGAGCAAAAACGAGATGAAGAAAAAAGCTAATCAGACCCCCAATTTCTAGTATCTCAGCACTCCTCTGCTGTCTCTGTTTTTGTCTCCCGTGCGTACCGTATCTCATGACGAGCTTTAAGGATGTACATCATAAATGTGCGAATTGTGGATTTTTGGTTGCGGTTGTGAGTTTATTTTTTTCATTTTTTTGCTCTTTGTTTTCTAGTTTGGGATTGGGAGAACGGGAAGAGGGAAGGAGGTTGGTTGTGTGTGGAATGTGAGGGGATGGATGGATAGAAAATAGAATAATTGGGTAAAGAAGAGCTAATCTAATATCTTCCTCGATGTATAGTGGAAAAGAAGTGGAAAGACGGAGGTGAGTGTTGCGGCTAGTGCCGCGGCTGCTTCTGGAAATGCGGGTGGTGTGGGCAGTGCTGGAGGGAAGTAGGGAGGAGATGCAGGTGCGAATTTGGATGTTAAATAATGAGTTAGGTTAGGTTGGATGGGTGTTAGGGGACTTGGGTTTGGAGGGGGAGAGGGTCTGTGTCTGTGTTTTGGTTTGATATCCAGTGCTTGAGTTGATTTGTTTTTGGGGGAAGTTTGGGGATTGGGATCGTATCTTTGTTCGTCTATTTAATCTTCTCCCATTTGAAAGAGATTGGTAACAATCGCTTGTTGTCGTTTATCCTGCGGTTTCGTGGGAAATTGTTAGGTCATCAATTTCCACTCGATCCCGTTACACAAATCGCGATAATCTGGTATATCGTCTCGATAGAAATCTTTCTTATTCTCCGGAACTTCCCCGTTCATTGTATTCATCGTTTTCATTTCCTTTTTGTTTGTATAACCAAACTAGTGGGTTTGTGGTAGCTTAAATAATAGAGTCTTATTAGGATTCGAGTTCTATTGAATGAAGGAGAGAGGGTGGGACTGTCTTTTCTGCTAGTCGCGGATGAGATGTCAATGCCACATGTGGTGGGAGTGTAGTGGTGAATTTTATCTATCACACCCTTTAAGATCTTACGATTTTGTATCGTGTATTATCTACTCCTCAGTAAAGCTACTTGATCTCTCTTCTGATTGATTCACTTAGATGCTAAGTCACACAGCTCGGATCCATCATTCAGGTGTTCAGAAACTCGCTTTATAGCTGGAGAAAGCGATCTCAGAAATGGTAATCTTCAAGTGAGATATCGACACTGCCTCGATGCCATGTCAGAATAGTATGCTAGATGAATTTTGGTTTTGGAGATTTATGGGATTAAATTGTGTGAGGGGATGGTTGAATTGTTCTCTTGGCCTGAGAGAGATATCCTAGGTAGACTCTAAAGATTATCGTTTGATGAGTTAATGTTGTTGTAGAAGTAATACTTTTTTATCGCTCAACTCTGAATACTATCGTGATTTCAGAACATTGAAGGGGCTTTTCCGCGGAGATGTCATTGTGAGTAACTAATTGTAAGCTGTAGTTTCAACGGATTATCATCATAGTTTACTACTACGCCAATGTCGTCTGCTTCAAATTCTATTTCGGACATGAGATTGTTTGATACTCTGCTTCTCGTTATATATAGGATGGGAGTGGGCTTTTTAAGAAAGCCAGAAACCAGGGTTTCGAAAGCTTCTGTGTAAAACGTAGTAGCCTTTTGAAGATCACAGATAAAGTGAATCAGAGGAATGGTCTGGGAGAGGGGCCTTGACTGATTGGTACATTCGGCTGTTGGCAGTGGAGTAACTGGTTGGCTACTTAAGTAAGGATCATGTAGTGCATGATTTTCTTTTCGTTATGGTCGCAGCGAGCACAAAAATGGCATGTTAGTACATGATATGACCAAAACTCATAATCTAGAGACATATTACCTTATCTGGACGCTTTGTGGGTATTTTCGGGGAGTGCTCCATAATACATTTATATTTTCCGACTTAGAATATATGTTGTCGATACAATATAGAAACCTGCCTGTTGTCAGCATTTCCGTGCGTTCTCGTCTGTCATTTCAACGGCACAACATTCAAGCCATATTCAAGATATTCTTGCTTTGCATACATGAATTCTTATTGGTCTCTTAGCAGATTGAGAGCCTATCTGGTATCAAATATGAACGTAGAAAAATGGCGTAATTGAATACAACGATTAGTTCACCTTATTTATGTTCTTGGCGTTGAAGAAACTCGGCTATCTGATCGAGATTTGATCAGCCTTGGAACCTCCTCTCTTTTAGAATTCACTCCAAAACTCGATAGAGTCCTCAGTAGAACATCAAATGGCTTAGTTTGCTTTTAGTCTTGGAATCCCAAATTTCCTATGCCCTCTCCAGTATCTGCAGATTTTCATCTAAATAAACTCCAACCTTGCATCACTGAAGTCGATAGATATAACAACCCGAAGATCCCGCTTCTTCTTCTCAGGAAGTGTAATTCTTCGATCATCCGCCAAAGTGCAGTATGTGAATAAAAGTGCCAAGCTAGATTCTCTGAGTTAGAGGTATCGTTACGCTGAATCTGAGGGCTTTTTATTAATTGTATTTTATGTGTCTCTGTTATTGTCCTTATTGAGAGTACACTTCTACTATCGTCTGTTAGTTAATTCCCGTCTTCAAACTGGTTATATTGCTGTTGTTAAAGTGAGTTACTCGAATTATGTTTGAAAATGACAACGAATATAATGCACCTTCCGCATTGATAGTTGTTATGTTTGGAAAATCGATCGTGTACCCTCTCTCTAGGAGAGACTTGAAGTGGCACTAACCATTCTAATACTGTTTTTCCCGCATCTGAATCATGGCTTCTCTTCAAAAATTCATGATATTGTTGGCAGGAAGAGCTTCATCTTGCAGATTTATATTCATGGGGTTGATATTGAGTCAACTGACGATTAGCAGAATTCAATATTCAGTCACGAGATTATTTGCTCCTGTTTCCCCTTGCTCTTTCCCCTCTTACCTAAGCTCCACTAAAGAAAATATTCATTTCCAACTCATATTTATTGCCTAGTATTCACTGGATAGTTGAAGGTCTCTTTCCCGATTAAATTACTGTTCCAGTCACTTCATTTCAAGTCATCTTCAATTTCTCGGGTCTGAACTATCCATTTGAACGATATCTCGACTTATGGTGTCAGCATGAGCACTAACAATATCAAGCCAGTGGAAATTGTTTCAGGGACGTTATCTTACAATTGCCGTACCTCTGGCGAAAGTTCGATGTAGAAGCTAGAAAATCCTGGGCTGTTTCCAGCACCACTTTGGCTTTCTGAGCCAATGAAATATTTCGAAAGACTAATTAACGTTGTCATCAACACAGTGTTTGTTGCCCTTGCAAACATGAAGCGATAACTTCCGACAGTAACAATAAGCGAGTTGATGGTGGAAATAGCGAGATCAAAAGCATGACGAGGACCCGGGAAAGCTCTACCCCGGCAGTCAAATGTGGTAGGAATGTCTCTTATTTCGAGTAATGATAGACCTATTCACGATGAAGTACATGTACCGTCGCGGCTATCCAGATTTTAGAACAAAGCTATTATCATACCCACCACAGGCTATGCGGCATAGAATACTGGAGTTGCTACTTTCAATTATTCATCGTAATCCAACCTTGTCATTGCTACCCTTTTCCAAATGAAAATGGCCTCCAATTTTTGAATTATGAGACTTGCAGAACGTTGTATGGTCTATTTTGCCTTCCTATATATGCTATTCACATCATCAACTTTTTTAAGCCCCAATCACTCGCGAATTTACCCCTCAATCTATCTCCACATTCGCATACTCCTTCAAAATTTATTGTGGTTTCTTACATACTCTGCCATATAAGTCTCTCAGTTTGTATTCACAATTTCTTAAAGAGCATAATTCCTAGAAAATAGACCATCAAATGTGCAATCATCTCATCTCCTCCAGGCGTGAATACTATTTCGATGTGCATTTTCTTTCTGGCTTTGAAAAATTCATCTTCACTCTATACCACTGTCATCTTGTCTTTCTCGGACTGATATCAAAAAAGGCTCCTTGTACCTCTTGTTTTCAGAGCAGAGTATAGTGATTTTATGAGCTTCATACACGCACTGTATGACTCAAGGGCCGTTAAGCTTCACCTCAATTCCAGCCTCTTCATTCCCTTGCATCTAATTCTTCTTGGGCAGACCCGTTTTATATTCACTTGACAACATAATGCTCACATTTTTCGTGTTTATACTTTTATTCCAGGCTTACCATTATCTCCAACTTGCATCGCCGAGGGATGCCGTTTTTCCTCGTGCTACTTTATTTCTCAGAAGGCCCCGTGCATCGTCCTACTGTTTCCTGATCCCTTTCAATTCTAGATCCAAAAGGTTTACTCGCTGTTGAACAAAGCCTCTTCATTGTCATTTATCTCGTTTGATAAAGTTAATCAGATATTCCTTCGTCACTTCAATCTCACCTTTATAGTTATGAATATCTGTACTGCATGATAATCATTGTAAAGCAATCACAATTTTGCACTGCATTCTACCCTGCGTATCGAACCTAGTACTTTTTCTTTGAGGGATGTAGTATCTGAATCTAGGAAAAATGACTTATATATCACCTCGATGTAAGTTTTCCAACGCCCCATTCAAGTTCTGAATTAACCGATTCACTTAATAGAAATCAACCAATCATTACACAGATTCACCTATCTAGCTCGTCTATTGATTCTATTCTTCCTCTCTTATTTCTTTCGAAAAGCTTATAAGCATCTGTTTTGAGCCTAAGATCTTTTGAAGTCGACTCGAAAATGACTAAAGTAGAGAGGGTTATCCTAGGTGTTCTTGTGGTTGTAATCGCATAGTCCCAGTCATGGTTACAACAAACTATACCATAAAATCCGAGACGATATAAAGATACCAGTCTACAGATAATACTCATATCGTTGTCATCTAGTAATTCTATTGTCTATTTTTCGAATGGCGAGTAAATAGCCCAGGTAGACTATTTATTCTCCGATATATCCATTATTACGCTACAGCTGTCGAATCACACAAGTCTCACACTCGTGGATAGCTAAATTTTCTGGTACGAGGAGCTACCATCAACGTGCCCTTTCTGCTACCATGTTCTGCCATTTGCGAAGCATTGAGATTATCGAGTTCTGATTTCTTCAGAGATCCTACTTATGACTTTCTATTGAGTGTATCGTAGGCTAACTTCTTATATCCGACTGCCCGCCTATTTCATTCACAAGTTGCTCAACCAGCCGATTCACTTATTGACTCCACTCTCCAGATCCAGCCACTCTAATCAATCCTAAGGGCTTCTCACCCTCTAACTCTCACATGGATTACATCACCAATTCACCCTATCTCATCTCCCCACTCATCTTCCCCAACCTTGAAAGTTATGGTTATAAATCTTCCATCTCCTCTTCGTTCTTGAGAATTCCTTCCCAAAGATAGGCAGAACAAAGAAGCGTAGCAATCTCGGTGTC